GAAAAATATATCTATCACGTTCAGTGAACAGACATTATTTATTTTCCATCGTACAACTTTTTCCCTGTAGATGAAAAGTTACAACCCTCTCGCTTCTCTGTTACTATTTTCATGGCAAATGTTCAGCAAATGCTACAATCCTTAGTTCCAAAGTTCAGAAATTCGCATCTAAGAAGAGCCATGCCAAGTACACTGGGTCGGGACGGCCACATTTCCTACTGATTCCATTGGTAACAGACTCCCGAGAGAATACTTTCCCGATGACTATGATCTTAACGTCTTCAAGTCTAGAGTCAACTGTTAATTATGCCACATATTTCCAATATGCACTTCTTACTTACAGCCGTATACTTTGAGTGGCTTTAGGAATTATATTGGATAAATACAGTATAAAATACACATTTGTTTGATAGTATTTCCTTTATGAACAGCTCAAATCAATTGGGTTTCATTTTTAGATTGATTAAAACCACAACAAAATGTCCACCATGATAAAAGACATTTTTAATACTCTCCAGTTTCTTTCGTGTTTAATGTAATCAATCAATAAACAAAAATACGCCGATTTTGAAGATAGTTTTAAATGCCAGCTTAAATGACAGTTTCTGTATAAATAAAGCGCAGTGTACGTGTGTCCGTCTGTCCGTCCGTTTTTGCGATCTTGATGAATCATAAACAACCTGAATTAACAGTTAGTAACTACTGTAGTTACAGGCGATTAAAAATTAAATAACTAATTTAAAGTTAAATTTAAATATCGAACAGAGTGAAAGGTTTAAAAATTTTTTTTTTGTTTTTAAAACTAAATTTTCTAACCAACAAAAATAACACTGAAATATCTAAAGAGAAATATAGACGCAGAAATAGAAAAAGAGAAATTATATGGTTCACCCACCCACCCCGACTATTGAAAACTATCAAATATTAATATCGAACTGTATTTTCTAAAGTTAATAAAACCACACTCTATGTAAGATCTTCAATAAGAAAACGATTAAAATTAGCTACTCCTGTACCAATAACACGTACAAAATTATCACCTCTCATAATAACTATATTTTAAGTAATTTCTATGGGATAAACAACAAACCTATTGAACCCCCCTCTAATTATAAATATGAAAAAAATTGTCTAGTTAAGGGTAAAGGCAGATCTATTAGGGTTATATAACAAACAAACATTTGCCGCAAAGAAAATATAGAAAATATAATAAATATTATAATGTTTACATTGGAATCTGTCTATATTTCTGAGATGAGGTACTATGTACATTTACATTATTCGGACTATTGTCCTCATCTTTGTCGCCATATTTATTACAACGTTTCGGCCGTTGTACGCTCCAGCCTTCTTCAGGTAGTTGGAATGTCGAACTGAACCCATATTTTCTGTGTATCGGGTCCATACCAATCCTTCAGTATCTGTTTATATTTCTGAAATGAGGTATTATGTACACTATTTACATTATTCGGACTATTGTCCTCATCTTTGTCGCCATATTTATTACAACGTTTCGGCCTTTCAGTATCTGTCTATATTTTTGAGATGAGGTATTATGTACACTATTTACAGTATTCGGACTATTGTCCTCATCTTTGTCGCCATATTTATTACAACGTTTCGGCCGTTGTACGCTCCGGCCTTCTTCAGGTGGTTGGAATGTCGAACTGAACCCATATTTTCTGTGTATCGGGTCCATACCAATCCTTCAGTATCTGTTTATATTTCTGAAATGAGGTATTATGTACACTATTTACATTATTCGGACTATTGTCCTCATCTTTGTCGCCATATTTATTACAACGTTTCGGCTTTTCAGTATCTGTCTATATTTTTGAGATGAGGTATTATGTACACTATTTACATTATTCGGACTATTGTCCTCATCTTTGTCGCCATATTTATTACAACGTTTCGACCGTTGTACGCTCCAGCCTTCTTCAGGTGGTTGGAATGTTGAATGTCGAAGTTCTCTTATTTGTAAGTCCCTGTACATTTTCTATAAGTACTTGCATTGTTCTTTTCTATAAGAGCTTACATGGTGAACTTTCTTCTGTGGTACCTAGATTTTATGAATATGAGCGCATTACTAGATTGGCGGTAAGGTCTCATCATTTTACTGTTCAAACGATTAGATATAACTGTAAGTTCTATCGTAAAAGTTTCTTTTCTCGCGCTTCTCGCTTCTGGAAGTCTCTCTCGATTTCTTGCTTTTCACTCAAGTTTGATATTCAAAACATTAAATGCAATATCAATCGTTATCTTCTGTCGTCTTAATTCCTGTTCTTTTATTGTTCTCTCTCCTTAATAACGTTTTTCTGATAATCTTTCACGGTTTTATATGATTTTATTGCTTTTCTTGGGTGAATGAAATTATATATATATATATATATATATATATATATATATATATATATATATATATATATATATATATAGAGACAGACAGAGAGAGAGAGACATTTCATTAACGACTGACAAGGTGCTTTTATTTAATTTT